TAATACATAATATAAGATATTATTATAATATTATATATGATATATTATAATATACGTATATAATTATAATATATTATATTATATGTTATAAGATATAATTACATTATATAAATTATTATAATATAATATAAATTATATTATAATTATTAATATAATAATTATAATATTCAAGGGTAATGATGAAAAAGAAAATTAAAAGAGTTTGGATTGGACATTCTTCTCATATGAGTAAGAAATGATGATTTATCCATTTAATGAAAAAGTCATTCCATTTTGAATGGCCATTTATTTTCCTAAAACTAACCAAATATGAGAATGAACCTTGATTCATTTCCATTCCTCCCAACCAAATACACCCCAAAAGTCACTCGTGCGGTAAATTTTGTAATTTTTTCTAACAAATTGGCTAGGAAATGGACACGTATTAGGTTCTCCTTGAAACGTTGTTGGACTTAGGGCCAAGAGATTGCTTGGACCCAATTTGTAGTGAAGACTGAAGAGTGCAAGTTCTTGGCCCAACATTAAACGAGAGAGTGGACTATAGAAAGAAATAAGGATAGACTTGATTTTTAACTTTGATTATCCCTCTTGAGAAAACTAGTTATGTTCTTATAGTATTGTCGTGTTAGAGATAGTTAAAAATTTATTGTTTAGTAAATAAAGATAAGTTCATTTATATAATTATTTAAGGATTTTTGAAATTATTTTAAAAAAGAATATGTATAAAGATAACAATTGATAAAAAGATTGTAGGGATATATTTGAAAAAAAAATTATTTTAACTAACCAAAAATAAAATAGGATCAAGTTAAAAAATATTATTCTTATAAGAGTAAAGTGAGAAACAATATATTTTTAAAAACAATACAAAAAATATATATAAAAAATTTCACAAAAGAATAAAGATAAAAAAGAAAAAAATAGAGACGTTGCCACGCCACGTAACAACCCTATAAAAAAGAATTTTGGCTCTTTTATGTGTGGTTAGATTACATAACAATCCCATCAAAATCAAAAATTTTAATATTTATGCTACTGAACATAAAGAAATTAGATATTTTCAAGTGTGTTTTTTTTTTTTTTTTTTTTTTTGCTAGTTTGATATTTTCAAGTGAGTTGACTCTCATAAATCTTAAATTTATATCACTAAGTGGCATAAATGTAACAATTACATTATTTGAGTGGCATTTCTAGATTTCTTCCTTATCTTTTGAATAAGCATTATTGGTATAAATGGTCCCTAACCTATTTAGGTCTAGTTCATTTCACCGATTTGAGTTTTTAATTATAAGTTTTTACAGTTAAAAGCTCTTAGAAAATATCACTTCTAAATTTTTTTGCTACAGTTAAAAGCTTTAAGAAAATGTCACATCTCAACTTGAAATAAAAACTCGAATCCGCAAAATGAACAAGGTCTTAGTAAGTGCCTGTTTGGTCCCCAACGTTTTTTTTTTAGGACAAATCGACTCCCAATCATTATAAACAGGTGCAATCTGGTCCTTTCTGTCAAGATCCGTCCAAAAGCTAAAGGGAGAAGCCCACGTGACCTAGATTGTTGGTGGAAAGACGAAATTGCCCGCTTGAACTCTTCCGGCGACCAAAGACGAAATTGCTAAAAATCTAACTGGAGATGGTCGGAACTATTCCGGTGACCAATGACGGCAAACTTGGTATGGATTTGGTTAGTTCGACAAGAGGAGTCTTAAGACACCACTTGCCGGAGGATTGGAGGTCAGACGGCGCCGAAATCTGCATTGGAAGGTGTTGTGGCTGGAAATTTCAACTGAAATTCTGACCGATTAGCAGTGAATTGAGCGGTAGCAACATTTTTTTGCGAGTCTTATTAAAGAGAAAATTAGTAAACTCACTCTTTAAATGCATTATTCTAAAATTTTTACCATTTACTCTTGATTAATACTTTTTTTACTAATATAGTTCTTTAACTAAAAGGTATTAATCAAGAATTAAATGTGAAAATTTAAAACTCATGCATTTTAAGGGATATTTATCTCCGTTTCCCTTATTAAAACCAAGAAATATAAGCCCATTTGCCTTTCACACTACTAACAATATGGCTCTTCTTTGCTCGCACTTTATAGTTTATGGTCTAATAATACGAGTATATATTTGGGAACTATGATATCGCATTACATAATTGGATGAAAATGTTTGTTGTGTTATTCTACCATGATATGGCATTAACTTTTTTTTTTTTTTTTTTGCTTCTTTTTTTTGCTAAGCAAAAGGGATTTGGCGTTAACTTAGTCTTACCTTTCATTTTCCATGCACTTTATATCCCACATGTAACATGTATATCCACCATAACGCATATATTCTGATATATAATCTATATTATATAAATCTGTGTGCGTGTGTGTATACTTTAGGAACATCGAACGTAGATATAGGAGAATCCACATGGATTACGCATACCAGCATTAGTACAAATGACAAATAGGACAAGACTTTTTGCAACTTGCATTAGAGATTGAAAAAGTGCATATACCTATGACTATGATCTATTAGGAGACGTTTGGTTCATGAATTAGAATTATTTTTTATTTATGTGTATTTTTTGTGAGAGAAAACACTGTAACGAACTATAAATTATGATTCAAATCATGATTTGAATCCTCTAACCAAACATCTCCTTATAGTGGTCTAACTTTTAAAAGACCTTGAGATTTGCTGGGGAACGAAAGAACTCGCCCTTTCTTTTTCTCTCTTTTGGTTTAGATATTATTTTGTTCCGTCTCTGCTTTTCTATATAGATAATTAGATATATGCCCTTCTTTTTACTTCCTTTTTTTTCCTCTTTTCTTTTTCTTTTGTTAGGTATGGTTTTCCTTTTTTTCTTACACTATGTTTCGTAGAGTGAAAAAGGGGAGAGAAAAGAAATTAAAGGAAGAATTGTAAGGAGGAAAAAAAAAATCTCAAGTTATTTGGTAGAAAGGAAATAGGGAAGGAATAAAGTTGTAAATCTATGAGGTCCATCATTTCTCATTCCTTCCAACTTTGGAAAGAAAAACGGAAGGAAAAAAATTTAACAAGCAAAAAGGATGTAAAATAACTATTATAATCTTAAACCATTCACCATATTCTTATATGTATAAGGGTAATATTGTAAAATAATATAGATTTAACATTTTTTTTTATTTTTCTTTCTCTTTACCAAACAACACGAAGTAAAACCTTCTTTCTACCGTTTTACTTCCTTTATTTAAATATTTTACTTATCCTTCATTTCTATTTTCCATTTCTCCTACCAAACATAGCATAATCTCAAACATATTATTGTCCTAGTTAATTTTTACACAACACTTTTCTTCTCTTAGCCCTCAAAACGTATCTACAATTTTGGGTCATGATTGACGGGTGAAAACAAATTATGTGAATATATCTACATGCTATTATTGCATAAAAGGTAGAAAAATTATCATAAGAATTTGAAAATGGCATCCTTTATATTGGTTGGGTTTTGTAACGCTTATAATTGTCAGCAACAAAATCTTCAATCACATGTCCAACATTGAAGTTCTCCATTTCCACACTAAACTCCAAAATAGATTCAAGTGTCATACTAATATTACCCTACAGCATTATTTTGAGGCAAAAAGATAACAACCCTTGGCAGCATTATAATATCTCTAGCTTAAAAAAAAAAAAAGCCCTTAAACAGTGCTTCTTGATTGTTGATGCCCTACATCTCAGATAGTGGGCATCAAAATGGGGAGCATACCATACCAATGGCACAAATCTTTACTGCAAAAATGAAGGAAAAAAAACTCTGGACCCTAATGGTCCAAAGATCAAGTGGTCCCAAAATTTATTTCTGTAAATCGTTTCTATGTCACATCCTATGAGATAGCTGCTACCAAGGGCCCTCTGTTTTTCGTCCATTTTTTCATCAAAGTCACCATTTTCCACCAACTACCATGTCTGAAATTTGAAAACCCAACCGTTAGTTTTCAGTCACAATTCCACAGACAACGCGTCTATTTGTCTCTATTCATGTGAAAATCGTAACTTAATTTATTAAGGGTCGATTTAGAATTACGTTCATTCTTAAAATGATATCATAGAACTTCACCCGTTCGGTTCGCTAATTCGAGTTTTTAATTTGAGTTGAGATGTGATGTTGTGTGAAAGTTTTTTACTATAGTAAAAAAGTTAGATGTGACTGTTTCTGAGAGTTTTTTACTGTAATAAAACTCAAATTATAAACTCGAATCATCGAAATGAACAAAGCCTAAGATAACTATTCTATTCGTCTTGATTCACAATCGTAACTTATTTTTTAAAAGTGATTATTGGAGAACTTAGCAAATAACAACTAGCATTTGGTGAACCTTTCTTCATTATATTATTTAATCATCTGCTGAATTGGAGAGCAACTTTTATAAGTTTAAAACGGTCAAGAAGTGATTAACATAGAGTCCAACCACTTTTCAGAATAGCATTGAGCTAAAAATTCTAGCTCTGGAGGTTGATAGTTATTAAAATCTATAAAAGGCATGTTTGGTTATCAACCATCATAGCTTTACTCATTTTAGAGGACAGACTTACAATAATCCCAAAGGACAAAAATCTACCCATATTGTAGATCCGTTTAGTTCGTTGATTCAAATTTTTAATTCGAGTTGAGATGTGACTTTATATAAGAGTTTTTTACTGTAGTAAAAAAATTAAATATGACTGTTTATGAGAATTTTTTTACTATAATAAAACTTGAATTCTAAATTTGAGTCAGTAAAATAAATGAGATTGTATTTTTCTCTGAGAGTTGCTTTGTCAAACTTTTGCTTTCTAGTGATCGGTTAGAAATTTAGGAGCATGAGTGCAAAAGAAGCTGAAGGGTAATATATAATCTTGTATAATGTGCTCATTCAACTCTTTGTTAGTATAAGTCAATGTTTTCATGATGGCAAGTATAATTTGACACTAATTTTAAACTAGACTTCACCGAATAAAGTTCAAATTCCCATAAAAAAAAAAAAAAGACTTCTTGTCTTGTTTATTTTAACAATTCAAACTAAAGAATTCAATTCTAACCGTAATTTAAGATTTAAATTGATGTTTAATAAATAATTAAATAAGAACAATTCAAATTATTAATAATAGTTTAAACTCTTAATTTTAAAATTTACCATCCTTATTTACACAATCCAAATTATTATCTACGGTGAAAATATTCAAATTTTACTTTTAATCTCCTCAACTTCAAATTTAAAATGGTCTTTGATTTTCACCTATTTAACAGTGAAAGGCTATAAGCATACCTTTATGGCCTATGATTATTTCTCTATCTTAGAATTTAAATTTAGATTTTTTTATGCTACTAAGAAAAGGAATCTAGTGGTGCATTTCATGTCTCATAACCCTTTCAACATTAATAAGCAATCTCAAAGACTACTGAGTATGTAAAAAAAAACTTAAACTAATCTCGCATTGACTATTCAACCAGTTTTCACTCTCCTCATCTTGTAGGGCATGTAGATAGATGCCCACTTAATTTTTCATAAGAAACAAACAACAACACGCTAGTGTGAAGTATCAAACTCTAAAAAAATTGGCAAAAAAATCTAACAAAAGCGCTCGTACCATCACACCATGAACCTCAGTGGTGAATTTAAGTGACATTTATTTTTAAAAATTTTATCTGATTTACAATCATAATTCTTAATTTTACTACAATATATTTCTCTTATAAAAAATTTAAATTTTAAAAATCAAATCATAAATTATAATTTTAAATCCTTAAACGAATCGACACTTTAAATTTAAATTAAACAATAGTTTTGACGTATATCCAATTATAACAGTTGATTTACTAGTTACAAAAGTTAATACAATCGGTCCTTTCATTGGTGCTAATTAGCAAAACCAGTAGTTACCAAATAAGTCTTCCTTCTTGGAAGAGAGGTCGAAAAGAAACGGACATGAATGATTGAAGGGGTAGAAAAAGAGACATGAAAAGAAGAGAATCTACGACAAATGAGTAAAACGGGTCCTACTACATTTGGCTTAGTTTAAAGCTTTATTTGGTAATTGGTACACAACGTAAACAAAGTTTAGATAATTGTCAGCTTTAGTCAGGATCATCATCACAAACTTTGAAATGCCAAAAACTCTGGACGAAATACCCAACAGCAAGCAATCACCAACTCATAAAATTCATCAAAATTCAACTATACAAGAATAATATCTCAGCTCTTTCACTTCCACTCTTCCTCTCCACATAGAGAGAAGCACATCAGAAAGTGATGAAGAAAGGTTTTTTTTTTTTTTTTTTTTTTAAAAAAGAGAAAAAAGATAACCAAGATTGGTTTTTCATTTTTATAATCTCTTTTGCCTCTGGTATATAATTAAGGATCAGAGAATTTCTAGTTGGCTTTGAAGAACACAAGATTGATGGCAAATAGAGAAGAAAAGAACTCTTGAGAACCATTCATATTCCCTTTAAACACCATCAAATCCCATTTTATCTTCACTCTCCTCCAACAACATCTCCTCATAACGGCATTCATGGCTACAAAATGCTTTCTCACCCCTGAAAACAAAAAATTGCATTAAGCAAATCCAAAATGAGGGTAAAACTGAATAAAAAGTTCCTCTTTTTTTTTTCAAAAAGATTCCAAAAACTTTCACCGAATTTACAAACTAAGGGTTCGTTTGATGCGTTTAAATCCATAACTTTAATAGTTTTTCTATAAAAAAATTAAATTTTAAATGTGAGGATCAATAATCAATATTTGAATGCATCAACTAAACGGCCTAAGACAAAATCAATAAGAATATTAACAGAAAACAATAATTCATGTAGGACCAACCAACCTGTACATGTAGATATCGTTTCCCTGCCCAAGATTCTTCTTGCATGTGCAGCAAAAGCTGAGAAAATTCTCCGAACGAAAAGTAGAATAAAAAATTTGATCATCACCACCCTCCTTTCTCGCTCCAGAGAATCCAACGACACCAAAACAGCTCTCCTCCACAACGCAATTGTCGAAAATATGTGTCGTTTTCGGGTTCGGCCCGTGAGTGATGACGCAAGTGTAGTCCTCTGAGAGCTCCATTGGAGTACTTTCAGCTCCGAAACTCGCCGACCCAGAAGCCGATTTCTCGATAGGAGAAAACCCCAGATGAGAATTCCTCGTTTTAATGCCGAAATCGGAAGAATCGGAGTTTTGCAGAGGGATTTGGATCTTGAGGTGGGACCCGAAAAGGACCATTCGGGTCTCGGAATTGGGCTGCTTTTGGTCGGATTTCTCGTCGTTTAAGGCGTCGACGATTCCGAGGCCGATTCCTTTGTCCCAGGGGCGGTGTTTGGGGGTGGTTATTTCTTGGTCGGAGGCTGATTTTGTGTCTGAGAAAAATGGGTTTTTGAGGTTGAAAGATGAGAATGGTTTGCTGTCGAGAATGGAGGTCGGGCTCATAACGGATTCGGTCGTTTCGGAGAAGTTTTTCGAAGTGAAGCTTGTGAAGAGCCGTGGAGAGCTCATGAAGAGAGATGAGGAAATGAGTCTTCTGGGTTTTTCTGTTGGAGAGGGCTGAGAGCTGAAATCCGCCATTAAAGCTTTTAAAGCTTTGCTCGTTTAGTAGTAGTTCTGCAACTGCAAGACAAAACCCAGATAAAGTTCCAAAAAAGTTTCCTTATTGGAGGAAAGTATTTTTTTTCCTCTTTTTAGAGGGCTTACCTGAAAAAGATGTGAGTTTTGGAATGGAAAAACTGAAGTTGAAGTAGAACAAAATCCGCCATTTCCAGATACCAAGAGAAATTCCATGAAAAAATAAACTAAAAATATTTTTTCTGTTAAAGCTCTGTCTCTGTGGCCTCCATTTTCTGATAGAAACCCAAGAAGATATAAAAACGAAACCACTTTTTCCCTGACTTTTTTTCCTTCTTTTTTTCACTTTCCCTTTTTAATTCTCTTGGCAAAAAAAGAAACGAAGGAACCCTCTACTGGAAAATGCTCAGAACCGACACGAGAACAGACCGTCAACAGTCAATGATCCAAGGACAAGACGTGCTATGTTGTTATATATATGTATATATATTGGACATAAGAACAAGAAAAAACTTTGGATTTTTGTTTTGTTTTTCTTTTTACTTGAGCACTCACAGCTTTTTTTTTTCCCTACTTTTATCTCATCTTTCTTTTTTTTTCGTGTCTTCAACTGATAAATATTTCGGCAGAAATGGTTTGTACCACTAAAAAGATTCAAGCTTTAGAAAGAGAAGAAGAAGAAAAAGAAGACAAGCGTCACCGTGTGATAATAATAAGACCAAAAACACACGAATAAAACCCAAGAATAAAAACAAAACAACTAGTGAAGGGTGTGGATCATCATGTTTTTCTCTCTCTCTTAATTCTTTTTCTCTCTTTTTTAGTGGGATTTTTTTTTTCTTCTCTTTATCTTTCCCACTAAAATTCAGTTTCCTATCATCATCCTGAAAAATCGGCTAGGCGTAGAGAGAAGTGAAAAGAGAGGCACCTCGTGAGAATGAGGGGTTGGTGGATGCTTATATATAGAGAGAGAGAGGCAGACGCGTTTGCATGGGAATCAGTGGGTTTGATAAAACCACCCCACTCTCCACTTAATGCTAAATCCAATAATACCACTTTTCTCTCCGAGGATTTTTTTTTTTTTTGAAAAAAAAAAATTGCATTCCAAATTAAAGAATTACGAACACTGAATTAGACGTAAAAGATCTCAACATAATTAGCGAGTCAATCCCACTTGTAGACTGAAATTATTAATAAATTTGATTTAAATGCTTAAGGATGTAATATGTGTACGAAATTTAGATAAACGAAAATTGAAGAAGCACGTAACAATTCGAGTAAATATATTGCTCTTTCAAACACGCCATTAAAGTTAGTGGGCGTTGAAGTCTGATAGATTTAGAGAGTCGATGTGTCGAGCGTTGACACGCGTAAGTGCACAATTTGTCAGAAGCGAATCCGACGTAGCCGAGCTTTGATGTGGATGAGGATGACGGGACCTCTGAAAAAGAAGTGGGGTCGGTTAGACAAATTAAGCCGAAGGACGTGTGTCCTAGGACCCTCTTTGTTGCCAAAATAATGAAAATGCCCTGCAAAATACATTAGAGAATCTGCAAAAAGTAAATAAAAGAACTCCGGAGGTGAAGAATGGTGGGAGGTGCAATCGAGTAGTTGATGGAGATGGAGAAAATGAGGTCGAAGGTGCCTTGATAGAGCAATGCTTTGGAGACAAGCGCGGGCTGCTCCAGGAGCGAAGGTGGTGACTAAAGTGGTGGATAAGGCTTGAGGAGAGTGAGAGTGAAGTTGATGAGGTGGATAAAGCTCTAGTGAAAGGAACTCTAAGAGTAGCGCATGTTGCTCTAGGAATGAAAACGGCGCTTGGAGGACTTATTCCGACGGTGAGCGAAGGTGACCCTAAATATGAAGACTTGAATGTTACTGAAAAGTGTATAAAGAAACTTCAGAGAGTTTTAAGATAATGGTGGAAATGGATCAAAAAGTATTTTGGAAAGGTTTCCAAGGCTGTCAACACTTGGAGGCTTTAAAGGACTTTAAAGAGCTTGAAGAACCTCAAGTCTCTATAGCAAGAGACTAGAGAAGTCTAAAGGAAGTAAGAAAAAGATAATCTGATGAGGATGAAAGTAATGGCTAGTGCTGATGGTGGATTCACCCCCCTGAAATGAAGGAAATGATGAGTATTTATAGGTGAAATTGGTATGATTTTAGTGGTAGCTCCGGAGGTTCATACGGCGTGCTTTGATGGATGTCTGCACAAGCAATCCCGATGGAGCAAAGCCTTTTGACACCTTTCCGGAGTTGAAGTGGAAATTAACTGAAAATAGAATGAATACTTTTGGGAACTTGCTCCAGAGGTGAATCGGCGGCGCTATGAAGGAAGCATGCATACACGATCTAAATGGAGCAAAGTCTTCAGAAGCCTTTCCAGGGTTAAAAAAGAATTGGCCTGAAAATGGAAAGAAAGGTTCATGGTGGCTACTTCAATGCCTAATCGGTGTCACTCTGACGGAGACCTACACACATAATTCCCTTTGGAGCAAAGCGATAAAGTGACTTTCCAGATTGACAAAGAAAATATCCAAAAATGGAAAGACTTAAAGGCAAAGTTCTGAATTTGAAGATGACATAAAAAGTTCCACGGTCTGAAGAGTGTTTAACTCAACTTTGTGCTCTATTGACTTCCTCTTTCAAAGGTCTGATCACATGTTAGACCTTATCAGAGATGGTTTATACGACATTGGCTAAGCAGCCGTCAAATTGGCCTCTGGCATGAAAGTTGTTCCGAATAAAGCTACTTCGACAATGAGTGTGCTCCAGATGAAGGCTGCTCCGAAAGGTGAGCATGCTTTAGGCGAAGAGTGCTCTGATGGTGAGTTGGGCTAGAGGAAGTTCAAAGGAAAGATGCCTGACACAAAAAAGGCTATGTTAGGCATACTTGGACATGAAGAGGATGCTCTAGGAGACATGCCTACCACAGAGGGAGCCTCCATTAGGCATGTCTGGCGCAAGTAGAGCTATTGGGAATTTGGGCATCCAAAAGGAAGAGGTGGAGCCTCCATTACTGAGAATCAACCTCGACGAAGAGGAAGATATTTCAGGGTGTGGACTTAGGAATTTTGGGCTTCTAAAAGGACGGGAGGAAGACTTTTTGTGAATTCTCCATTACCCATTTGTATTTAATCTGATTAATTGTAAAAACCCCCCAAGCGGGATTCAAATTGGATCAAACTAAATGAAAAATGGGTCTACTTGATGACATATGGCCAACCAAACCACAACCCATAGAAGTTCCCCAAATGTGACTTGTGTCCACGAAGCGAGCCCAATAATGTCGCATGACATCATGGTTGGGCCTGGACCTTTGAATGAGCCAGGTACAAAATTAGGTATCAACAGTGGGTAACTTCGATCAAATGGGATCAAGAGACCAAAGCACCAAGGCATACCATAATACCGCAAAGGAAACAGACTTGTGAATTAGACAAAAAGCCTACAATAGAAGGTCAAGAGACCACCTCCGTTATTACAATAAAAAACTAACAAAACAACCAACACACACTAAAACTAATCGGCGGAACATCAACTCCCTTATTTAACTAACACAAAAATAAGGAAAGGCCAGGCGGCACTGACCGAATCTCCAATTACAAGCCAACAGCTGTCAAAGGTGAAAGAGGGGACTACAACATAGCAAGCGAGTCCGAACGAAGTCAGAACATGGCTGAGCCATCAAAGCGGGGAGACCACGCACCGTCACCAGCAACTGTTGGAAAGCGAACGTGCCCCACCATGGAGAGAATCATGACTACATCGCTCGAACCACCAACTCCGACCACCATACCATGCATGGGTCCCCTCCAAAAGAGCGCCATAAATGCCCTGACAATTGGATAATCCCAGAGGATGCCAAACACACGCCGGAGAGCACCCCCTAAATACCCACGACTTCTCACTGGAGACAACCAATTTATGACACCCAAGGACCTACCCATGGGACCGGGAGTCCGAAGCCTAGCCTAAGGGCGGCACCAGACTCCAGCCTGTTGAAAGCTATTGAGACGATGCAAGGAATGCGAGAGAAAAAGAGAAATCCTAATAACGCTGCTCCCAAATCAGTACAGTATAACTTTTCTCTAATTGAAGGGTAAATTTGACATTTTATATCTTAAAAATAAGGTATTAAAATAAGGTTTTTTGAAATGTGAAGGTAGCATTTTAATATTTTAAGAAATATAGAGTATTAAGAGCATATTTCGCTATCAAAATAATGTTATTCTTAATAAAAATGTATTGTTGGCCCCACAAGTTTGCATATGGTGGTACTATGTATGAGTGGGCCCTCTAACCCAGTCTGAAAAAGAAAACTAGCCGGGTTGAACCCTCTAAAACCCTGAATAGGTTTGGGTCAGATTTTCTTATGAGTAAATAAAACAATAATGTATGCCAAATTCAGTTTGTTTTGGAGGTTCAGGTCAAACTACAACTGATCCAAATGTTTAAGCAATCCATGACTGTATGAGCTTCTCACTGGTCCACTTAGACCGACACAAACTTACAACTCTAGATGGGGCTATAACTCCATTAAGATGAATAGAAATGCGACAAATACCTTGTTTGTTTGTATCAATTAAAATCGCATTAGCAAAAATAAACAAACAAAATGTAATAAAAACTGAAAAGTTTGAATTTGTGTCACATTACTACAATATTTTTTATATTTTACTCAATAATTCTAGAAAAAAATTATCATTTAGTAATATGTTATAGTTTTAATAAATTATTTTTTTGTTATACCAAATTAAATATCATGTTAAATCTTATATTTTTAATATGTTTCATGTAGAATTCTTTACCTAGTTTTATATGTTTGTTGATTTTGAGAATGGTTAATGTAATTAACAATTTAGAGTTGCACTTTTTTTTTTCTTTTTCTTTTTACGTCGATCCAATAGGGTGTTTTTTTTTTTTTTTTCTTTAAGAAAAAGAAGAATCCTTTTTGAGTTTTGGCCAACA